CCCCCCCCCCCTCTTCTCCCTCGTCGTAACGGATACCGTCTGAAGAATTGCGAAATATCTCGTGAATAATTCGGCGCTTCGCATCTTCCGTTACGTTTTCTCTTTTCTTTTCTAATAAGACAGACTACAACACACACGCGCCAGCACTCGTTTCTTACACGAGGCTACACGAGGACGATGTAAAGACATAAGTCGCAATTTGCTGCAGGATGACGTATCACTCATAGATTGGATGATACATGGTGTTCATTCAATTTATAAGTGACACGACATCTGTGTTCGCAAGTTTGTGGATTTGCAAATTGTGTTTTGTGCATAGCTACGTGGAATGGACTACGCTTTGTTGTAGGAGGGATGAAGTTAGCATTAGTAAGAGACGACAGTGGAGAATAAGATGGTTTCCTTGTCGCGCAAAAATATTTCTAAATGTGACTGAAAGCTGATCGAAAAGCTTATAAACCACATTTAAAGATATTTTTTTTAAAGAGAGGTTAGAATGAGGGTCATAAAATAGAGAGACTGCGCATTGGTGTAAGAGAAATAAAGTCAGCATTAGTAAGAGAGCGCACTAGAAAGTAAGATGCTTTCCTTGTCGTAAAAGTGCCTTTAAATGTGACTGAAAGCTTGTAAACCACATTTAAAGAGACTTTTATTAACAAAGAGAGTTCAGAATGAGGACCATAGAATAGACTGCGCATTGCTGTAGAAGAAACAAAGTCAGCATTAGTAAGTAAGATGCTTTTCTTGTTTAATTGTCCAGTTGGTGGAGAGCAAAAAAGCAAAAGTGATCATACAATCAGTACGGCTTTTATTTCTTTCGACATTTCACTCTTACTCTTTTGTCTCTGACATATTGCCGCCTCCTAGAATACTATGTGACAGAGATAGTATTTGGCACATCTCTATCTTTCGGTTTTAGCATCAGCCGTCCCGTAAAAGTGCGCAGCTCTTCTATCAGTCTACGGTTTCTTGGACGGTCTTAGGGCTTTCGCACACGAATAGCAGTAACCGTGAACGCAAGACATAAACTTAAGCTAAGGAACCAATCGGGATATTGCTTTAGGATTCTTCTAGCTGGTAGAAGATTGAATTGATCGTGTAAATAGGATTCGGACTGAGTAACCAGGATTTCAACCAGACAAATCCTAGTTACTTCTGCGTGCCGATCAGATTTACCGACAATATTACCTTCTTCTAGAGTATACAAAACTGTAGCAATATAGCTACAGCAATACAGCTGATTGGTTTTCCAGCCAAACATTTACATTTTGCATCTACGTTCACGGCAATTCGTGTATCTTTAATGCTAGATGGAATCTTTCGTGTTTACGATTTTCTTACCATTCTCGTCTCTCGTGATCTAGGAAAACAATCTTTTGTGACTTTGGATTATTTTTTAAACAAAACACTGAGAAAAGAGGGACTATCATTGCCGGGCATTCCAGTGTTAACGCGCGCGCAACAATGGTGCGCGGTCGAGAGGCACGACGCGACGGTGGGTCCAACAAACTCGTAAATCATTCGCCTCTCCTTACGAGAGCGCTAGATAAGAGATGATGCCCGATCCTCCTCCGGAACCACATGGCCGGGACTTGTAATATATCCTTGGCACGGATATATAAGAATCTATATGCCGCGCGCGTGCACGCTCTCTCGCGCTCCGACGTTTTGAAACGCGCCAACGCTCAACGAGGCTCGCGCGCACTATCGATGAGTAGGTATCGTGCGCGTGCGCGCGAATTTCCTGATGCGAAAGAAGAGGATACCACCGGTAGAGTCTTCCGCTCCAACATTCGAGATAAAGCGGCCGGAAAATCCTCGGGATTCCGCGGACGCGGCGAGGAATCTCGCGCATTTCTAATAGAGGGAGGAGAGGCGGACGTCGTTCCTCGTGAATGTAGCGGTCCATCTGACGTTAACAGGGAGAGATCGCTACTCGCCGATTCTTCTCGCGCGCTCATAGTGTGTGCGCGCAGCACACATGTATATTTGAGCACGTGGCGTCGAAACTCGACGATTGAGTTTCTCTGCGACGGCTGAGACAGAGAGAAGCGCGCTTTCTCGCTCGTACGGTTAATTGTTTTGCGTTCGGGCGCGCATTACAAGCTCGGTGAGGTGTGCGTCGGAAGTTGGTCTAAATTATTTCGCCTCATGTGCGCCGTTAATACGTTACGTCCGCTTGCATACTAATTCCAGCAATTATCTTGGCGATTGTACTTTTTCGCGCAAACGATACACCGACTATTTTGCGTCTCTCGTAACGATGTAATAGTAAATTCTAGAGCTTCACGCGAACATTATTTGCGTCATAATACTCGACATTTGTAACCGATCTCGAGAAAAGGAGACTTTTACGTTTGTCTTGTAGCTTTGTTTATTTGTCCCTTCGTAACTCGAGGGAGATGTTAGAGAAAGTGAGATGAAACTTTTACTAACTTGTCCGGCATCGTTCTTTAGATTAGTATTATTATCCAGATTTAATCTTGAAATTGAATAATTCTATTACTTTCTTGAAAATATGAGAACATTTAGAGATAAAATTTAAAGATAAAATTTTGATTTCTTCTTGGGTAAGATAAATAGAATCGAAAGAGATTGATGTAGGTTTCAGAATATCAAATTTAGACTCGGCTATTCGTAGATATACGTATGAATGTATATATTGATTTAAAATATTAAAATATTATTTCTCTTATATTTTAAGATTTTTGTAGTGTTTTTAAAGGAGGTTCATTTTTCTTCTTTTTATCCGGGAAAAAGAGAGATAAATCGCGATGAGCGTTTTTGCGACGCGGATTCCTTGCGCGGTGTTGATGACGGTTTTCGATGGGAGAGCAAAGTTAACCGGGCGAAGGCCAGCGAGATAGACATCGCTACGCGCGGGCAATAAACAATGAGATGCATCGTACGATGACGTCAGCACCGGAGATCGGGAAGAAGCGCTTTCGGTAGATAAGAACTCTTCTTCTCTCTCGATTACGCGATATTCCCGGCTCTTCGAGCCGTCAAGGACGCGCGACTTTGTTCCCGTGATTGAGACGTGAACGTTGAAATGCCAAAAGATCAAAGATTATGCCGTTACAAAGATACCGTCCTTATTCACTCGCCACTGTCGCTCCGCGAGGCCTCGCAATTAAAGTGCATTCGCAAAAATAATGTAGGTCGCGGTGACCGTTGATCGTATTTGCATTATCGGAGCAATTACGCGATGCACGCGCTCGCGCGCGTTACATAAAGATGCACCTGGAGTGCGAGTATATATAGAGAAGCGCGCGCTGGAAGAACAACAGCCGGCCGCGGACTGTTACGATAGGTGAACAATTGCGGAGATGGATGGAAAGTGAATTGGCGACCTACAATACAGAGCCGCGCCGTTACGTCGCGGTGCTCGCGAGCACACACGCGACACGTGCGAAAATTCGCGAGCACCCATTGTTGGCCGCGATAAAAGCGCTTCCCGACGAACGCGCACTCGAGGAAGCATTCGTGCGCGAAAGAAACGTCCTACTTGGCTGATCGCGGCGGTGCGCGTTGGCGGTACTTTCGTGTTGTTGTCATATAAGAATAATCATCAAAATATTAAGGAAAGCCAACCTGCGCTGGATGTAGAGGCTCGTCTACAATACGTAATCTTGGCGTAAGAAATGAAAATAATTTATCTCTCTCATGC